AAATTTCAACAAAAAATAGTTGATATTTTCAATTTTGTAAATTCTGTATCTTTAGTAAAATTTAGAAACATACTTATCGCCTATATGTATTCCATCTCAATCTCATACATTTCTTGATTATTGTAACATGGGGACAATAAAATAGGTATAGTTCAAATTAATTTATTTTAAGAAAACAGACATTTCATTGATAAAATTTAATTTTCATATTTCAGTCGATATTTAAGTAATATTTAATTTTCCCAAATACATTGATACTAATTATCAATTTATTTGAATAATATAAACACTGATAGTAAATAAAAAATCAGGCGGCTCCAAGCGCCACCGCGCAACATCCCAATCGCCACCACCAACTGCCGCCTGGCGAGCCACCCCACCAACGTGCTCATCGACCGTGCTCGGGTCTTCCCACCAGAGTTGCAAACAAATCAAGTCGAGTCGAGCGAGTCGAGCCATGTAAATTGTGCTCGACTCAACTCAGTAAAAAAATAAGAATGGCCGAGTTCAACTAGATGCTCGACATGGCTCTGAGTGCTGCTCGAAATTTTAACAACTAAACATTAAATACAAGGATACCATTTTTAATCTAAACACACAATTTTTGCTTTGGTCGAGCTGCTCGTCGAGCTTACGAGCCTCTTGAACTAATACTCGAGACTCGACTCGTTTGCTCGAGTAAACTGCTCGAGCAAACGGAAAGTCATAAACAGTTTCATGGGGTAAAGCCAAGCATTGAGCATGATGCCACAGACGCAGTCCAGGTGAAATTTTTGTACACTTTTTTTACATTTGCATAACTTGTATCGGCTATTTTCATTTGTAGGTACACATGCAGATCTGTAATCTAGTGCTGATCTGGGACAATAATCAGCAGTTAAAAAAGACCTGATGTATTTTGCCTTTCATAAGCATTAACCACAATACATATAAAGAAAGACGATACGGCCATTATTATTACAGCTTGTTCATCTGAGGAAACGGTATATCACATGATACGAGAAGTAAACAAACGGAATCTCTAAGCAATACTATAGAGTGAAGATATAATATGGTCCAGGAGGTTTTAACGCTAAATGAAAAATGACAAGACAAAACCTTTATCGTGTTTTGTAGTTTAAGTTTCAAGATATTACACAAAACAGCTCACTCATTTTCGCATCAAATATATGAAAGCATCTCCCGTGTTTATTATTCTAAAAAACCAGATTCTCCAACCGAATCAGAAAGCATCATGCAGCAACCAATCGTTCATCTTTAGGCCGGTAATTTTAGATCCGATCCAAAGCCCACCTGAGAAAGAAGCCAAATTTTTCAACATTCAACAACCTTATCAAGAAATGTACTAACTGGCATAGAATAATTACCATTTACACAATCTACATTTCCACCAAGCCAACAAATACTTATTTTGCGCCAGAAACTCACAGCACAAATTATATTCCCAGAAAAGTTATATTATTTACTCTTTCTACAACTCCATTAATTAGCATAACGCATGCTCTAAACTGATTAAACCAACGCAAACTAGCAAATATCTTCAAAGGTTTTTTTTATAAAAAATTATTATGCTTTGTTAGCATTCAAACAAAATCATGAGTGAAACCACCAACAGACACACCAAAGAATATCAGCAAAATAGCACAGAATGATACAATATAGAACCGAGACCGATCCATACCTCTAACATGGGGCCCACAAAAGCTTGATGATTAGCACAAGTCATCATCAACTCTTAGATACCGACGTTAGAAGGCCCATCTGTTCAGTAAGATTGTTTAAACTCTTCAGTTTATTATCCCAGTCGACTCCTTGCTCCACATGATCCTTGCTACTATTTACATCGTCCGTGTCCCCATGAACAGGACTGCCTGAAAGAAATTGCTCCCAAAAAACATCATTTATGCCCGGAAGATTTTGAATATCATCTAGCAAAATATCGACCTCACGATCGGCAAGAAGCTCATCCGAAGCAACAGCCATCTGTGCATCCACACATCCAGAAATTGTATTAATATCCCCACACCCTAACACTGTAGGTTGTTCTCCCATAAACGACTCATCGTAAATACCGATGTTATTATCCAAAGTGATTTCATGTGACGGGACAAAATTGGGCAACAAATTATCTGGTTGGATCTCAGTTAATGCACTCGTATGAGGTAAAACCTCAGATAGAATCACCCCGGAAATTTTATTATCCATTGGTTGTGCGCTATCAATCAAGAAACTATTAGAGTTGCTCAATTTACGCTCAAGCCTTCCGCCAGGTGCATTATTTATTTTCAGGATCTGCCTCAGCATTGACTTTGCAGCTTCATTCATCAGAGGCTGGTACTTGACAACCTGGCCATCGGGAGTCACAATACCATACTTCTGAACTAAATTTTCTTCATCCTGTCCGGGAAGTCTCCTTTTCTTACTCCCGTGGGAAATTTTCCGAGGCCCGTCATTATTCACGAGCTGCGACATAAATCCAGGGCTCTGCACGGCTTTGGCGAGGAAAGACATCATTTGCTGCTGGCGTTGCTCCATGCCATGAACCCTCTGGCCCATCGTCTGCAACTGGCTGTCGGTTGACTGCTGCTGGTGCCTTAGCCTGACGAGCTCGTGCATAAGAACATTTTTGTCTTTTTTAAGCATTTCAACTTCTTCCTCTATACCGCCTTTCCGGGCCTTCGCACAAGGTTCGGTAGGTGGGTTTTGAACCAGAGGGGATTGCGGGTTGGGCTGTGCGTGGGAAGGTTTACGCCTGATTATCGTCTTCAACAAGTGTCTGTGGCCTTTGAGGAACCCATCATTTGCAAACTCCCAACGGTCGGGGTCTACTTTTCTGAATCCCTGAGTGGCAAAAATCGAGGGGAAGCGAAAACTATAAAAGGACAACTGAGGCTTGGAATACAAACCAAATAAAAAGACGACCCTACAAAAATCGAAGTTGATGCACAATTAAATCCTCCTCTAGTGTTAGGCTGAACGGTTTAAGCTAAGCTCCAATCTCCCCCACAAGTTTTTTCCTAAATCCAATAGATGGAAGCTCCAATCACTAAAGTAAACACAATTTTTTGAATCACAACACAATCAAATCCCTAATCATAATGTATGCTAGAATCCCCACCAAGAAAACATGAAATATCTATATATGACTTCCAGACTAGAAACCCCAACTAGGAAAACTGGCATAGCAAAAGTAAACATCACCCAGTTAATGCCACAATCAAATTCACCAAAACCCTAGCCCAACACCACAAATTAACCCCAAACTAACAAACATAAATGGAAAACTACGGATAACGACTGGATTCAATAAAAAGGGGGAGGAATAGAAAGAAACAGACGTAAGTGTTCAACTGGCGAACGAAGCTGGAGAAATTGCTGTGCTTGAAGTACTTAGGCAGCAGGTCCTTCCCGAACTCAGCTACGTTCCAGACGACGAAGGTGTTGCTGGCGGAGCCCCAGGACACCACTGCGTCCGTGCTCGGATCGTCCACCATGTCGTAGGTCTTGCTGAGGAACGGCGCCGGGGCCAACGCCGCTGAAACTCCTCCTCCGCCGGCATCCATTTCTTCAGAAAGCAAGAATTTCGTGGTCGCGTGGGGATTGTCGAGATGGATTGACGAGAGAGGAAGACGATGGAGTGTGTGCGTCAGTGCGTGTGAAGGATAGAGAAGAACAGTGATGGGCAATCGGCTTATATATATATTTACTTACTGTGGTGAAAAATATTGGTTACCTGCAATAACCGGTAGACTGATTTGCGGTGTTTCTTTTCCTTTTTATCTAACTTTTTTTTTTTTTTTCTTTCTTTTCTTCACTCGTTTTTTTTTTATTTTAATTTGACATTTTTTATTTAATTTCCTGAAGTCATTATTTTGTGACATATATTAGACTGAAGCTCTCAATTGAAAATATTTTGTATCTTTTTAAATTTACATTACTTAAAAATTATTTTATAAAATTTCAAATGATTTTATTTTGGTAGTGTTGGAATTGAATCAAATCAACCTAGATTTCTATTATGTTCAAACATTGTTCTTGTTCACTTCTTTTATGTTTCAAGTAAAAAAAATATATTCTGAGCTAGCTATTTTAATTATTCATCAAATAATTTAGTAAACAAGTTTTGTAAGATTATTTTATTAACTCGAGATATGTTCGTTCTAATTCGTTCAAACTGAAAAGTATTTAAAAAAAATATTTGTATACTTTACCTTTTACTAAAAAAGTATCATACATATAAATATGTTATGTTTTTTTTTTGGTACATGGACCTTCCGATTTCCGGATCCACAGTGGAACCGACTAATTCGGAATCAAGCCGGGTAGGACCACAAGGGCGACAAAGCTGGTTAAGCTGGAAGAGACCCAAGTCATCTCATCCAAGCGCTCTTGGGTTATAAATATGTTATGTTAAATTGATGTTCGTGAGTATTATTATAAGTCCTTGAATGAGCTTGTGTTTGTTCGACTTTTAAACGAGCTTGTTTTTTGTTTAAGCTCAACTCGATTGACAAATAGACTAGATCCTATCGAACACGAATGAGCTTGTTGCAACATGTTTTTATGAAAATTATGAAAAAAAAAAAACCAAAACACACACACACACACAACTTTAGTTTAGTTCGATCAAATGATTTTACGTTTGTAATATATACGTCTCATCTCATTATTATCTTCTTGGATTTGGATTTAGATGTCGAAGATGAATTTGTCGTTTGGATCTCCTTGGAGCTTGAGTTTATTAAAAAAATTGGTGTCTACACTTATGTTTGCAAACGTTAGATTTGTTAACAGTCCTATATTCGGACAAATGACCGAACATCTACAATTATAAATCACTAGGGGTGTGATTGTATATCAATTCACTCAAAAAAAAATCAATCAAAACTCAAATTTAACTCAACCTCATTATCTCTAATATTATCAAAATAATTAAATAATATTAACCAATCATTCAACTAATCATTCTTACACGTCACATCAACTTTAATTCACATCAACTTTAATTCACTATTCATCCACTCAAATAGTTTTAACTAACAATCACTTCCAATCATTTTTTCTTTGTTTTTACATCATATCAACTTTAATTATTTTATTTTAAATATTATTTTAATATATCAACTAACAGCTAACTATACTAACTTTTTTTAAAATTAACTATAGTTAGAAAAAAAAACCAATTAATTTTCTAGATGAATTCATAAACAATCACCTCCTAGAAAACTAGAGGTGAAGTTTAGCTTACTGTATTTTAAAAGTTGATAACTTTTGTATTTTTTATCGTTTTACATATATTATATATCAAATTAAAAATCTTTTGATGATCTTCGATTTGACATCCATATTGTATATATGAAATAAATAAATTATATTTATCTTTATAATAATAAAAGATAATAATATTTATTAAAATTCATTAAAAAATTAAAATTATTTACGAATTGATATATTTATTTTTAATGTAGTTAGATGTTGTAAGTTAAAAATTATTATAATATAACACAGGTAAGTCGCACAAATAAAAAGTGTTCTACTAAATATATAATAATATATATATTTTTGAAAATTTATTTAATTTTTCTACTTTTTCTCATTAGTTTTAGACTTTAAGAAAAAAATTAGCAAGCACCCGTGTAATACACGAGTATTATACTAGTATATATATTAATTCCTAAGTATCACATAAGTATCACATTCACATACTCCATGATCTAACGTGGCAAAATTAATTGGCTATTAGGCTGGGTAGATTGGCTGAAGTTACCAGCAATTTATATATTTATTGATAA